GGCCTGGGGAAACAGCTGACGGAACTCTGCTTGCTGTCTCTCTCTATCTGGTTTGCTCTCACTCCTTGTTTTCTGCGGAGGATGGTAATAAAAGCTGCTGTGTGTCCTTGTGTGTGTGTGTGTGTAATGTGTGAGCGCTTGAGAAAACTGGGGAGAGAGCGAGAACAGAAGGCGATCAGGAAGCAGTTGTAATCCAAGAGAGCGAGGGAGAGAGTGAGAAGGAGAGCTGGGCAGGTGGGAAAGGCAAGAATGTATCATGATTAGAAAAGCCCTGTTTGTGAGGGACACCTTCCAGTCCACTGTTAGCAAAAGAGCCAAGGAAAACATATCTGAATTAATCAGATTGACATTACACAAGGATCACTCCATTCACTCCAACAGCGACTATGAGAATGTGACAGAGACAAACACAATAAAAATACTACAAAAATATAGCTCGAAGACTTTTTATGTGCTTGTCCTGATTGGGCCAAGGTTTAACTACAAAGAAAAAAGAAACAGTATTGAAAATTAAAGTTCCACCACCAATCTGTTTAGTTGTTCAAGTACAAATAAGTATCTTGCCAGATACTTCAAGTACAGTGTTTTAAAAGAAAAATTCAGGCATACAGTTTTTTCCCTCTCACTCAAAGAGAACATACTCAAAACTATATTCTAGTTTTCTTAATAAAAATAATAATAAAAAAAAACGAAAACATCTTTTTTTTCTGAAAATAATTTCTAACAAGGCCTGTAGCTACACTAAGAACTTTGTACTTTATAATGCTTGAAGACCCACATCGATCAATTGTCTCAATGTCTTAAACTGACTGCTGGCTACAAGCTTTAAGATATTTTCTCCACAACATGAAACTTAAGACAGTGTTTAGAACACAAAAGTCCCCGGCTTCATTTTCAACACCTTTTTATAAAATCTTGTACAACAGAAAACCTTTCATTTCTGACATCAGAACCAACATAGTATAATGCTCTTTTTATGTACTACTGGTCTATTTGAATTTATATAAAATGTTTTAAAAAAACATCTCAAATCAGTTCACAGAAAATAAAACAGGTGAGAAACCAAACAGATGTAGGTAAATATCTTTTACATAAAATAACAGCATTAAAACATCAGACATTAAAAGTCAAGATAATAAATGTGGCTGTTCTTGGCAATGAGGACTAGATTGTTATTTACATGATTACATGATTGTACTGTACCTTACCTGCAGAATCTCCTCTTATCCAACTCCACTGAAAAAACATTGCTAGGGAGGATCAAATTTCCAAATTATAGTATATGTACTACATGTACTATGTACTACTACAATGTTCCATCAAACAAGATCCTTTTTTGCTGTAGTTGCAACATCATTCTACTATTGTACTGTATTGAATCCAGGGGCACCATATATATGGCTGACCCTGCATTCTGACCCCAAGCTTCTCTCTCCCCATCTTTGTAGCTGTGCGTCTCATGGAGAGCAAGCTGGGGTTTGCGAAAAGACAAATCCCTAATGCAAGAAATAGTATATGGCTAATAAAATGATCTTATCTTATCTAGAATCACTTACTACAGCAAAGCAACACAAAAGCCTTAGTAGTGTAACAGTTTCAAGATACATTTTGCACTCTTAGTCTATTAATTCGATTTCTAATTTTGAATAAAACTCATGAGCTGAGCTGTTCTTCTTTTCTGATAATTTCTTGCCACTGACTATGAAAGAATATACAGTATAAGTAGGCAAACACAATGCTGTGACTGAATCTGGACTTGGCTGTGTTTTATTCTTACTAAGGACATTTTGAGATTGAACAACAGCTTTGTTGAACAACACTCACGATTTTCTCTGTAGTCAGTTGAGTGACTTTTATAGCCTATTGCTCTCAAAATGTTTATTTTTTGTCATGACTTGAAATTACTTTTTCTAATTCCATTCATATCCCCTCAGACCACTTCAATATTTTCAAAGCAGTGAGGCGTAGTTCTGTATTTACTGTTAAGCCCCTACCCTGTGCCCCAGAATTTTCCCTGGTCCTTTCTTTTTCCTGTTCTCTCTTTCTAAGCTCAGCAGAATGGATCTGATCTGTTTTTTGAATGTTGGAAACTGATTTTCATAACGCTGTGCATCTCTCTAAATTTAGAAGTAACACCTACCAAAGACGTGTCATATCACTCTCTGAGAGAGTGGAGGGAAGAGAAGAAGCTGAATTTGTCTAACAACACATTGGCAGAATTTTTCCAAATGAAGCATGTAAAGATTGTTCAAAAATGTATTAGACACTACCAGTTTGAATAACATTAATCTTTATACATTCACAGAAAACCACAACATCCGGCATATAATACAATTTGGTGAGGTGAAAAAAAGATCACAAAAGACTGCATTTGTAATTCCGTTTAAAGCACTCATCCTAAACCACTAAATGCCATTAACCGAAAAAGAATTGTGACATTATCATTGCTACTGTCTTTTATGCGGATGGGCTTAATGGAAATTTTATCAAGGTGTAATATAATGTGTTGAGGCTTCAAGTAAAGTAATGGAACTGGGAAGATCCAATGCACTCAATGAGGGTGACACATGACCTCTGTATGCCAGGAGAGAATGAAAAGCTTCCATCTCTGAGCAACATATTGAGCTCTGTCACTCATTAACCAATGCTCACCGATCGGTCACTTTATGGGCCTTCCACTTTGGCAACATTCTCATTCTTTTCTAAAACACACGAGAAATTTAGAAACTTCCAAATAAAATGTATGTTCATTTCTATTATAGATCTGTAACATTTGATGTAATAAAGAGTTAGTTTAATTGTTTTACTATTTATATATACATACTTATATTTCAAGACAATGTAGAAAGCTAAAGGACAAAGCTGGGAATAACTCTGTTGAATTTTAACCTACTATACAGTAGGTAACATTTTAGAAGTCCTTTCAAAACAAAGGTCAATAAAGAGCCCAAGGAGAACAGCAATAAATCTCACAGCATTTACCGTTCTGAGAAACACTGGTAAAAGCCTCATAATACTTACAAAACTGCTAACAATAAGCAAAGTATTGGGTTCTGCTCCATGCACAAACACCACGTGCTGTTTTGCAATAGTGTAAGCATACTGTTCTGTTACAGAATACTAGACATTTGCAGAATGCAAGTGTTAAACACATCTACTGTGTGCTGAAGGCCAGAACCTAACAGTGCCTGTAATGTACTAGTGAGGGCTATACAAAGGGATGAAGTCTCCTGGCAATACAATAAAGAACTGAACTGTCCTGTGTGCACTCTGGCTGACCTCCAACACATTTCTCTCCACATTTGCCTTCAGTGGTTGCGATAAGTATTTAAGTACCAAACTACAGTGAGAGCCACTGTGTCTCCATTTTGTTTCAACTGTGAAAGGAGGTCATCTGTATGAGTACTCTACAGGAGAAGAATGATAGCACAGTATTTTTGCAGTTTCCAATGTTATTACCACCCTCATACAATGTTTTTTGCTTTGGTAAATTTCTAGCAATTGTCTCGCGTTTATCCATAGTTTTCATGCTCTGCCATATCACATTTTTCTATGCACTATATTACCTTGAAAGTGATAAACAACAGTAAACAATTTTAAGGGTGGACTATGAATGATGGAAAATATCAAATCCTAGTCTAATCATTTTTAACTAGAAAAATAATCATAGTAAAGAAATTGTATACTACACATTTGGTCAAGTATGTATTCTTAGTCTATGATACTCCTTTAGTCTATGATAAATCACAAATGAGTGTCATTCCTAAGCAAAAAAAAAAAACCTTTTGTAAAGCCTTAAAATTAATTTCTTTGAAGGCATTCAAGAACACCTCTTGTAATAGTATAGCAAAAATAATTCTATGATGTTAAGTGTGGACAAGTTAAATAGCAGAGTGCCCACCTATCCATTATGAAAAAAGTGTTTTTTCATCCGTAACCCTACAAGTGCCAGCCGCAGTGCACCGTCTGTTACAAACATTGAATTATTGATCAGCTTTGCAGCTCGCCTTTCTGAATGGACAAGTTCATTCAGCTCCATCACTTGAGCTTATGTTCTGCACCACCAGACAGCCTGAAAAGGAGGGGAAATTAAACATAGCAACACCAAAGATTGCTCATGCTCCCAGCAGGTTCACCTTTCCAGAACCCACAGTGACGATCATCCACTCATGTGGAAAAACCTGTAGAGCAAGAATGGTCGAGATCTATTTACAGTTATTTTTGGATCTCACAGGATCCTCTATTCTGCCAACTCCACTTAAACCTAGACCCCATTACAAGTAGGCAGTCCTTCCCAGTGCTAGTCATCCAGAGCTCACAGAATCAACTGCCTTTGATGTGAAAGGTGAATTTGTTATTTAGAATACTGATGTCAACTTAATCTGGACATGTATTTTTCAGTTTTGAATTAGATCTGAAACTTTTCTGAAGCGAAATACATTTTTCTTTCATTTTTGTTTTCATAGCATCTTTCCCATCCTATATGGATGCTACTGACCATATGAGCAACTTTAAGCATGTATTCCAATTCATATTACTAATTCTGATCAGGTTTGTTTTTTTTAAACTTGGTGTCAGATTATATCAAAGATAAATGATTTGATATTACGAGTCTCTCTGAAAGTAAAAAAGTACTATAATGATAGTATGTATGATAGTATGATATTAAATGATACAGCAAAATTCAGAACCGTTTTTATTTTTTCATGTAGTGTAATTGGATGGCACAAAGTATGAAAAATGTATTAAACTTACCTTGGCAACTACACTTAGGTTGAGCATTCCCAAATGTAAAGACTAAGTGAACAAAGTGTTTAAAATTATTTGAGTGTTTATTTAACCTACATAACCAAGAACTAATTTGGGTCATTAAGCACGAGACACACAAGAGAATAAGAGAAACCTAGTGTAGGGTTCTTCACCTCTAGAATGGGACAGTTAGAGTCTTTGTGTGTTCATTCTGATCAAACAAATTGAACAAGTGATTTGCTTTAGTATTGAATTAGCATATTCTTTTGCTACTGCCTGAACACACCTACAGAATGTATAGCACTAGGTTGGAACCCCATTACCTAAAGTGAATAATTAAAAGTTGAATGACCATGGAAGTGCCAAGGGCTAATTTATATTAATTATATTTAGCAATA